TCCCTCCATCCCTCCATCCATCCATCTGACCATCCCCTCCACCCCCCCCAGTCCCTCATGCTCCCCTGTCCCCCCTCCTATGCCCCAGCACCCACCTCCCAGGGTGGTAGGTCTCAAACTCCTCCAAGAAGATGCTCTGGCTGCCAGGGGCAGTGGGTGCAGGGCTGCTGGTGGCATTGGGCAGGATGAGGAACTTGAGGACAGTGCCAGTGCTGGAGCCCAGGAAGACCACGGTGTGGTTGCCCCACGGCCCTGCCGCGTTGTCCACCACGATCTTGCGCAGCTGGTACCTGTGTGGGGGGAATGGAGCAGGTTTTGGGGTGTGTGGGATGTGTGTGTCCCTGGGGAAGGGGAAACTGAGGCAGGGTGGGGGATGGGACCATCCCTGGGGATGGAGAAGCTGCAGCTGGCCCAGGGCAGAGGGTCCCCAGGGAGCACAAAGAACTGTTTGGATCCCAGATGGAAACTAGTCCGGATCCCAGAGAGGACTCAGCCAGACCCATCCCAGATCCACTCAGGATCAAGCCTCAATTCCACCCAGATCCCAGCTAGGATCCAGCTCCAATCCCACTAAGGAACCAGCCCAGATCCCTCCTCAGCAGGATCCCAGCTGGACCCAGTCCCACATCCCCAGCCCAGCCCCATGTTCTTGTCCCCAGGTCTGTCCCCCCATCCCCAACCCCATGTCCCCATCTGCAGCATGTCCATCTCCAGCCCCATATCCTCACCCTCAGCCTTGTGTCCCTAACCCAATGTCTTCAGCCCAGGCCCTGTGTCCCATTCCCAGCTCCATATCCCCATTCCCAGCTCCATGTCCCCATCTCCTGCCACACATCCCAATCCCCATCCCTGTGTCCCCATTCCCACCTCCATATCCCCATTCCCAGCTCCTTGTCCCCAGCTCCTGCCTCATATCCCCATCCCAAACCTTGTGCCCCATCTCCAACCCCACACGTCCAGCTCCTGCCCCATATCCCCAGCCCCACAACTGTATGTCCCCATCTCCTGCCCCACATCCCAATCCCCATCCCTATATCCCCATTCCCATCCCATGTCCTCATCCCCATCCCTGCTCCCTCCCTGGCTGCCCTGCCGGCGGGAGGCTGCGGCCTGAGAGCGCCGCTTGATTAATTCCCCATCAAGCAGCAATTAAGGCAGATTTAATTAGGACGAGACAATCTTGACTGCAAAGTGTATGAGATT